TCCCTGTGCCCATCTTATGCCATCTCCCATCTCCATTCATCTCCCTGCATTCCCTGCCAGGGACGACGTATACGGGCGGTTACCAAGCACTGGCTGCGTGTGGGCCTGAACCAGCACATTCAGCCCCCGTTCGTCTCCCCATCCTCCCAATTCCCCCATCCCCCCCCATCCTCCCCACTCCTCCCGCCCCCTCAGGGACGACCTATACCAGCGACTACCTGGCAACGTGAAGCACCAGCTGCGGGTCCAGCTGAACCAGCACATTCATCTCCTCTCTTCCCTCCTCCCCCCATCCTCCTCCCCCCATCCTCCTCCCCCCATCCTCCTCCCCCCATCCTCCTCTCCCCATCCTCTCCCTCCTTCCACCTCCCCCACTCCTCCTCTCCTCCAGGGCTACCCGACCTATACCAGCGGCTACCCGGCAACGTGAAGCACCAGGGCCTGCATGTGGGGCTGACCCAGCCCATTCATCCCCCCCTCCCCTCCCCTTCTCCCCCCACTTCCCCTCTCCTCCCCTTTCCTCCCGCCCCCCAGGGACGACCTATACCGGCGGCTACCGGGCAACGTGAAGCACCAGCTGCGGGTGCGGCTGAACCAGCGCCCGCGGCCCTTTGACATCGAGGCCGCAGCGGAGATCCGGCGCACGCTAGAGTACATGCTGGGGTGGCTGCTGCCCATGGCGCACGCCACCATCACATGGCAGACGGAGCACAGCTATGGGTGCCACTTGAGTAAACGCCACCGCACGCTGCAAGTGCAGGTGAGTTGAGACCAGTGTGTCCGGTGGGGCTACATTTAAGGGACATCACGTGCAGACCCCTCCCCCCTTCCCCCCTCACCCTGCCCTCCCCCCTCGCCTTCTCCTCCCTCTTCCCGCTGTCCCACCCCATCGCCCCCCCCGGTCCAGACGCTGTACTATGCGGACAAGGACCGGTTTGAGGGGTGTCTTGTCTGGTGGAGCTGCTGGTGGGGCTGCAATAGAGGCTCTTCACATGTATACTCCCGCCCTCCACTTACCCCCCGCCTCCACCCCCTTCTCTTCCCCCAGACGCTGTACTATGCGGACAAGGACCGGTTTGAGGTGTGTCTGGTGGAGCTGCTGGTGGGGCTGAGCTATATCTCGCGGCCCCCCGGGCTCACCAACCTGCAGCCCGGGGAAGAGGCGCCCTGGCGCCTCTGGCTCACCACGGGGGGGCACATTCCCCCTGTGGGCGCGGATGGGCGCGTGGGGAAGGACAGGGGGCGCGGGAGGGGGGACGGGAGGGGGAGAGGTGAGGGGAGAGGGAGAGGGGAGGGGCGGGGGCGAGGGGAGGGGAGAGGGAGGGGTGGGGTTGGGAGGGGGAGAGAGCGAGGGGTGGAGGGGAGAGGGAGAGGGGAGGGGAGAGGGAGAGGGGGGGACGGGAGTGGGAGGGGAGGGGAAGGGAGAGAGAGGGGGGGGAATGGGCGAGGGCGGATAGGGGAGGAGAGGGAGTGGGGAGGAGAAGGGATAGGGGCGAGTAGCAGTGGTGGGGAGAAGAGAGGGGTGCAGGGGGGGGAGAAATGGGCGGAGGGGAGAGAGGGAGTTGAGAGACATGTGGGGGGGAGTGGGACGGAAGGTAGGGGCTCTACAAACAGACGAAAGGAAGGCAGTGGCAACAGTGGTGGTGCTGATGGTGCCACGCTCGCAGGGGGGGAGGTGGGGAGCGACGGCAAGGGAAGCAGGTCAGGTGTAGAGGGATCAGCAGATAGGGCAGGAGACAGGGCTGTGCAGGGAGGGATGGTGGGCGAGGCAGCAGTGGGAAGGAGAGCAGGGGGAAGGGGGACAGGAGGGGAGCAAGGTGCAGAGCCCATGAAGCAGGGTGACAGAGGAGGCGGTGGTGGGGCAGGGGATGGGGATGGAGGTGAGTTTGAGGGTAGGAGTAGGGGTTGTGCTGTTGGGGCAGGGGCGTGTGCAGAGAGGGGTGGAGATGGGAAGAGGGAGGGGCAGGTGTCAGGGGAAGGTGCTGCATGTGGGGAGGGGGCGGGGAGGGCAGCAGGGGAGGGTGGAGGAGGGGAAGGAACAAGTGCAGAAGCAAGGGAAGGTGGGACAGTTGCTGATTATGCCACCACTGCAGGTGGTGCTGTTGGCGATGTGGGTGTTGATGGCAAGAGTGGCACGGATGGCAATGATGCTGGTGACGAAAATGGCCGTGAAAAGCCTCTTGGGGTTCTTGCTGCCAATGCAGCAGCCATGGCACCGGCCGCTGCAGTCACCGAATCATCTGAACCACCAGCAGCAGCAGCAGGAGCAGCACGAGGAGCAACGTGTCAGCAGGTTGCAGGGGTTGGGGAGGCAGAGGATTCAGCTGCCTTGGCAAGGAAGGGCTCAAATGAGGAGGAGGTGCACTCAAGTGGAGGAGTGGAAGGGGAAGAGGCCAGTGCAGGGGGGTTGGGAGGCGACGGAAGAACTGGTGGTGACGTTGGGCTTGGCAAGAGTGAGGAGGGGGGCGATAGGGACGGGAGTGAGGAGAAGGGGGGTTAGTGGTGCAAGTTGGTGCAGAGTGATGCAAAGTGTATGAAACATTTACGTAAGTTTACTATGAATTGAATATGGTATAGGTACATCGCTAGTTCCTGCTGCATGTGCTGCTGGTAGTCCTGGGGCTCTGTGTGGTGGCTGATTTCTTGTATTTCATGTAATGATGAAGTAGATGCTATGGCAATGATGGGGAATGCTGATGATGACGCTTTTAAAAAACCATGACACTATTGAGGAGGAGCATGGTGAAGTGAAACATGCACAGAGCTTCTAGTGAGGTGGGTTGGGGGGAGGAGGAGGGGGTTGGGGGGGGGGGGGGGGTGGTGGGGGGAGGGGGAGGGGGAGGGTCCCTGCCAGGTGTTCAGTGCTCCGCAATGTCACTCCAAGCGTTGTTTGATCATGCTTGATGCATGAAAGAAGATATGGTACAGAAAGCTCTGCTGTGTTCTCCTTTATTATGCACCTCAGATACTCGTACCGTAGTCTTGTCCAATCTTGCGTTGGAACTGTTGTATGAACCTAGTCAAGCGTGCTGCACAGAAGGTGATGTTGAATTTTAACCTGAACCAAACCTGAACTAGCTATGAGATTGCATGTGGATGGGTTGTAGACCTCTGTCAGCGTTATAATCGGAAACAGGCAGGTACGGATGTGAATGGCAAGTGGTACTAGTAGTTATGAACAAGATGGTTAACTTGTTTTGCTTGGAAGTTTGCTCCACCAGTTTGAGTATTGAGCACATCAGATGCAGCTAATTGAAAGCTTTTATGAGGTAGATCTCTCGTACCGTATTCATGTAGGTTACTGGAGGAGATGGAAGTGTAGATGAAACTGGTGCAGAAAACCGCACGACGACAGGCATCGCAACACCTGGGCACTGGGTGTGGGACGCTACGTTGTTGTCGAGTCTGTTGTCGTTTCATGCCAGGCAATCCCTGGGCGGCTTCAATCACAACGAGGTCTGCTTTGCAAGAAGCAACACTGTACAACGGGCGGACGTGGAGACGTCTTTTTGGGTTGCGAAGCAACCTATTACAATCGTTATGTGCAATTTTTTTTTTCATCCACGATATTTATAGAAGATGAAGAAAAAATGTTATGGACAATATTATAAGTGACGACTATGTATTTGCCCTGGCAATTCAGCTCGTGTGCCATGGTACTATACATTCTTTGTAGTTCGCCCTGAATTTACTGTGGATGGATGCCTAAGGTGTATTGTGTGGATGAAATATTAACATGGTGTGGAAAAAGAATGTAACTGTGAACTCGTGGTGGCTGTTAATTCCGTAATGCATACGTAATATCTGTTATGCATTAATGAATCATGCATGCATGTACCAATATGTCAAATGTTGTAGCCTATAGTGAGGTTTGTCTTAGGGGGTACAAAACTTAGGGTTAGCTATATGTACCCCAACCAACATCAATGCATCATCCATTCTTCATTTTGACATGGTATCAGTTAGGTTAGGATCCTGTGGGATCCCGTTCCTCCGTTCTCCGTTCGAGCCTCCCGAGCCTGATCCTAGCTCTCATTCGTCCCAGTCCCGTTGTTACCGCGCGTAGTGCCGCGCCTAGCGCCACTCCTAGCGTCGCGTCCTGCCCGCCCTTTCCCCCTCGTCGCGTCCCTTTCCCCCCGTCGCGTCGCGCCCTTTCCCCCCAGTCGAGTCGCGCCCTTTTCCCCCCGTCGCGTCGCGCTCTTTCCCCCCGTCGCGTCGCGCCCTTTCCCCCCGTCGCGTCGCGCCCTTTCCCCCCGTCACGTCGCCCTGCCCCGTCCCGTCGCCCTGCCCCGTCCCGTCGCCCTGCCCCGTCGCGTCGCCCTGCCCCGTCGCGTCGCCCTGCCCCGTCCCGTCGCCCTGCCCCGTCGCGTCGCCCTGCCCCGTCGCGTCGCCCTTCCCCGTCCCGTCGCCCTGCCCCGTCGCATCGCGCCCGCCCTTTCCCCCGTCCCGTCGACCCTACGCCCTGGCCCGTCGCCCTAGCCCGTTCTTCCGCTGTGACTAAGTCCCCCCCCCTCCCACCTGAACCCTAATTTGCCTCTTACCTCCTGCTGTTACTCGCCTGCTCGTTCGCGTTAGTTCTCGCTATGGCGACTCCGCGAGTTCTTCGTTTCGACGCTGACGGTAGACCTCTTGACTTTTCCGTCTGGCTTCTTCGCGCTCGCCGTCTGTTAGAGAGTCAAGTCCAGGGGGGCGAGACCCTCTGGTCGCACGCTACTGGTGACCTCCCCGAGCCCCCCGAGCCTGCCGCTTTAGGTCCTGCCCCTGACGATGCTGCTACGGCTCGCTTTGCCCGTCAGCGCGCTGACAGGACGGCTTGGACGTCGCGTGACGCTGCGGCCTGCATCGCACTCAGCAGCCTCCTCCCTGAGTCAGAGGAGGTCCACTTCACTCAGGTTCGCACCGCTGCTGCGTACCTCACTGCGATTAAGGCCCGCTACTCTACTCCCGCTACTGTCTCTCTTGGCCGTCTTTTCCTCCCGTTCCTGTTTCCTGATCTCGCCTCGTTTGAGCGCTCTGCTGACTTGATCGCTCACCTCCGCTCGCTCGACGCTAGTTACCGCGCTGCTTGCACTGAGGCACAGCTTGCACTGCTTCCTCCCCCTATGGCGATTACTATCTATTTCATCGCCACTAGCCTCCCTGACCGCCTTGCCTCCGTTCGCGACGCGCTTCTGCTGAAGCACCCTAGTGAGCTCACCGTCGATGTCCTTGAGTCTGCACTCAAGGACGTCGAGAGCAACCTTCGCTCGGTAGCCGCTGCCTCTGGTGCTGTGCCCCCCCCACTCTTCCACGGGTGCACAGTCCCGCAGTTACCCACCTTTACTGCCTCACTTGCCACTGCCGCTACTGACGCGACTGCAGCTGCTGTTACGACTGCGTCGCGGTCCCGCGGTAGGAGTGGCAAGAAAGGCGGTTCTGGTGGTGGTAGTGGAGGTGGAGGCGGAGGTAGTGGAGGTGGCGTTGCGCCTGGCAGCGGTGGAGGTTCAGGGCCTGGAGAGGCGCCTCGTGCAGTGACTGGTGACTCCACTGCGCCTGCTAGTGGTGGCGACGCCCGAGTTCGTCAGTCGCCTCCTGTACTTCCTGCCCCGGTTGGTGGAGCAGCGGCGTGGTACCAGGCTCAGCGTCAGCAGCAGCTTCTGCAGCACCAGCAGCCCCTCTCCTCCCAGCAGCCTCAGCAGCAGCAGCGGCAGCAGCTGGCTCCAGGGTCGGGGCTGCGTCAGACCCAGCGTGGTGCTGCTTACACTCCCTGCACCTACCAGGTTCTGACAGGCCCTCGTCGTGGCCACCCTTGTGGCCGGTTTCACCCCCCTGGTCAGTGCTTTGCTCAGCTCACTGACACGGTTCGTTTGGTCTACGGGGTTGGTGCTCCTGCCCCTGACTGGCTGCCTCTTGTTCAGCGCTACGGCTCCGCTCTGTGGGGCATGTCTGCTGAGCAGTTAGTTGATCTGATTGGTACTCCCCATGCTATGTATGCTGTTGTTGACTCTAGTGTTTCTGACTCTGCTTACTCTGGTGTTGTTAGCTTAGGTGCTAGCCTTGCTCAGTTGCCTGTTGCTAGTGTAGGTTCTTGTGTAGACTCTAGTCCAGCGGCTACCTCAGAGGACGGTTCGCTGTCGTTCACGCTGGACTCTGGAGCCTCTCACTGCTTCTTTCGTGACAGCACGACACTTACGCCTCTTCCTGCGCCTGTTTCTGTGGCGCTGGCTGATCCCACTTCGGGACCAGTCACCGCGCGTCACACTACCACCTTGCCGTGTCCGGCTGCTCCTTCTGGGTCTCTCACTGGGTTTCACGTCCCCTCGTTCTCCCGGAACTTGGTGGGCGTGCGACCCCTCGTGAGTCAGCACGTGGGTGTGTGGTTTGAGCCTTCTGGAGAGACTGCGGTGTGTGTTGACGGGGACTCTTACCAGCCCCTCGCCACTTTTGCTGCTGAGCCGGGCTCCGGTCTCTACACTCTTCACACTGGCCCGCGCGCTCAGCAGCGACTGCAGCAGCAGCAGCAGCCGCCGCAGCAGCAGCAGCAGCAGCAGCCGCAGCAGCAGCAGCCGCAGCCGCAGCCACAGCGGCCGCCGTCGCAGCAGCCACTCCTCCCAGTTCCTGTCCCTCCCCCTAGTCTCCTCCCTGCGTCTCACCAGGTGGTTCCGTCCCCTCAGGTTGTCGCGTCCAGTCCAGTCGCTGCGTCTTGCTCCTGTCGGTCGCTTGCCCACCCCACCGTTCTGTGGCACCACCGGATGGGACACCCTTCTCTTCCACGTCTGCGTGCTATGTCTAGTCAGCGTCTAGTCTTAGGTCTCCCGCGTGTCTTGCCGTCGCTGCCGCCGTCCCTTGCACCACCGTGCGGTCCTTGCGTCGAGGGTAGGCTGCGTGCCACCCCTCACTCCTCCTCCCTTCGTCCGGCCACCGAGCCTTTTGAGACGCTGCACTTGGACGTCTGGGGCCCCTCTCCTCGCCCTGGCCCTGAGCGTGAGCGTTTCTTTTTGGTGGTCGTTGACGACTACTCCCGCTACACCACGGTGTTCCCCCTGGCGAGGAAGTCTGAGGTGACTTCTACGCTGATCAGGTGGTTGCTTACCACCCAGGACACTCGTGGTCGTCGTGTCAGCTGTCTCCACTCCGACCGCGGGGGCGAGTTTCGCTCCGGCATTCTCGCTGGATTCTGTCGCGAACAGGGCATTCGTCAGTCCTGGACGCTTCCGGAGTCCCCACAGCAGAATGGGGTTGCTGAGCGTCGCATAGGCCTGGTCATGGAGATTGCCCGCACCTCCTTGACTCACGCCCGTGCCCCCCATTTCCTGTGGCCATACGCGGTCAGGTACGCCGCGCACCAGCTGAACCTCTGGCCACGCGTCTCTCGGCCGGAGGCTTCACCGACCAGTCTTTGGACAGGGTCCCCTGGTGTCGCGTCGAGGTTTCGTGTCTGGGGGTGCTTGGCTCTTGTCCGCGACACCTCCGCGGACAAGCTCTCGCCTCGCGCCGTTCCTTGTGTCTTCCTTGGTTTCC